ACCTACCCACCTCCCACCTACCCACCTATACCGACCTACCTACCTACCTACCTACCTACCTACTTACCTACCTACCTACCTACCTACCTACCTACCTACCTACCTACCTACCTACCTACGTACGTACCTACGTACCTACGTATCTACGTACCTACGTACCTACGTACCTACGTACCTACACACAAGTGTGTATCTCTGTATATATGCAAGTATATTCTGCCTCCAAGTCTAAATCCCGAGCGCTGAACCTCCGAACTGTAAACACTTATCTTCAACCGAAAACGAAGGCAGAGAAGCCAGTCGACTTGGCTCTGCTGAAAGATCTCGCCTTTGCTGCAGGGCCACTGGGCTGATAGAAATAATGTTAGCTTTGTGTCATAGGTGTATGTATGTCTATGTATACATGTATGTTTGTGTATATTTCTATATAGTTATATATATATATATATATGGAAGGTTCCCTAGATGATGGCCCCTTCGTAAAAAGCACTGACCCCGATTCGAACACGCACGATTCAAGCACCACAGGTTCAAGCACACCAGCGGTTTGAGCACCTCCGATTCAAGGTTCTCTGTTCATTCTTCAGGATTTTTTGATTATTTAAGTATCACTTGGGTTTTGTTCGGCCTTTCAACAATATGTCTGGCTTCTGCAAAAGACGAATCCGCAAAATAGCAGGTTGAAGCGAATCCTGATCTTCATTGCTCCAACGTGCGACTTCTGTTGAGCGATTCCGGTCTATCCAGTGCGCGAAATGTTCTTGTGCCACGTGCTACGCCATGAGGGCAGTGCCTAAAGGCTGACAGGGCCTAAGCTGGCGGAAACCCAATATCTAAAAGCCCGGAAGGAAGGAAGGCCCCAAAGTTTTTTCCCAGGCACATCGGCCCCGAGCTCCGGGAGCCGCTTCTGAACTTCGCCTTCGAGCTCCCCGGTCTTCTTTTGTTTTAAGCGTCGGAACGTGGAGCAGTTTTGGGATGTTCAATGACGGTTTGGGATTTAGGGTGTTTGAGGTCAGGCGTTTAGGAAGTTCTAGCCCTTAGGGTTCAAGTGGTGGGTTGAGGTTTTCGTTTCAGGGTTCAGGACTTCCACCTTTAGCCAAGCCAGTCGTTCTCAATTATGAGTTCCACTGCTGCATCGTACTTACACTTCGACTTCAACTGATCGCGATGCCATGACATGGTGTTGCTATACATGTTACTCTGTTCTGGTATCACTTTAAGCTTTTGAAAGTTCTCAGGTCCTAGAAGCCGCAAAACGATCTAACATGCAGGACCTTGCATTAGGCTGGGTCGAGTTTTAGAGCTTATGGCCGTTGGCTTTCCTGCGAGCCAGGTTGCTAGCGGCAGCGGGTGCTCGCTAATTCTGGAAAGTGCCAGCATCCATCCCGAGCCCGGAGCGAATTCCTATGTTATTTTCCCCGCACCACATGGTGTAAATCTACATCTGTATCCCGACAGAATCCATTGCTGAGCATTCAGGTATCTCTTCTTTCCCGGCGACGGGCGGGCCTCCGATCCGCTGGTGTCTTCCATGAAGTTGGAAAAACCGGGCCTAAGACTTCAAGTCAACGTTTTTTCATATGGGGACTGCTGCAAGCCCGATATTTTTTGTGGGTATTGCAGAACAAGGGGGACACGGGGTGGTAGACGTGGAGGGAGCAAAAACAAGACAGCGTGCCGACAGTGATAATGGATGCTGAGGGTCTTGAATCTGCTTGTTCAGCGCTTGTCGGTATAGGGTGCGAGTGCGAAGGTATCAAGGCACGCCAGAAAGGCATCGCTCATCCTAACATTAACAACGGTCTCACAGGCTTGGAAAGCTCAAATCCACTAGACCGAGCCCCAATCTCGACCTTTGATGAGTTTGAGCCTGTCTTGAAGGGTCTGATAGTGAAGATAATCTGAGGTCTACAATGCGAGAAAAGCTTAAGACCATACCCCTGAAAGCCTAATCAATACCTACATTCGACCGCACTCGCGCAAGAGATCAGAAGGACCCACGCCTCCAAATCCGATACCTCCTACACCCAAGGGTCCGATGTTCTGAATTATAAGCTCTAACCTCTTAAAGCCACGGAATAGAAACACTTAAGTCTAAATCAAGATCTCAGGTTCACTTCCACCTGCTTGGCGGTGGCGACTTTGCCTCGCTGAGCTTCGCTGCCACCGAATCGCCGACGGCCTTGGCGGAAAGCTTCGGCAGTTCGGCACGAAGAGTTGTAGACTCCCGGGCAGGAGCCATCCAACACTCGCAGGTTAAAGTAACATACACTCAGAGTTTCGAGTTCTGGGATAAACTCAGGCTCTTCTAGGTGCTCCAGTCGTGGTGGAACTCTGACATGAAGGGGCTCGGATATGCGGTTTTTGAACCTGCGGTCCGAAATCTTGCATCGCAAAGCTTCACTGATGTGTAAGTTCCGACGCGGCACAGGAATCTTCGCCACTTTCCGCTACCACGGCTCCCAGGATGAGGCTCGGCGAGCCGCCAACTACGCCGAGCGCGGAGTTCGCATGCTTTTGGAGTCCGAGTGAGGACCTGAGGAGTGAGCGGTGCCGTTGCAGGGAGTCAGCCCCAATTCTACCGAACACAGGGAGAAACAGCGAGACAAAGGTGGGGGAGAGATAAAGACATCATACTTCAGTACCTATTATATGACATGGTCTGGTATGAGATGATATGAGAGGACATGGTAAGCTGTTAAGTCAGAGTCAACATGTTGCATCACGTGTCATTGTCTTACATTAAACGATATGATTTCGTATGGCTTTGCATTGCATTGTACTACATAGTATTTTATTCTATAAGACTTTCTTATCATATTTTCTATATTGTGTATTATTTAATGTTCAGTCCTCTATTTCCCCTTAATGTTCTGTCTTTTTCTCGTGGGTTCCTTTTTTATGTTATATTTTCAGTTGTGATACGATACGAGGTTATGTGGTATTTTGTTTCAGTGTACTATGTTTTATTCTATAATTCTACATTTCATGTTGTTAGTGTCAAGTTTACTCTATTCTGTTCCGTTTTGGATTCTGTTCTACTTCGTTATGTTTTGTGATACAACACTAGACCATGTTGTCTATTGTAATATACGGCATTATTACGCAACAGGACATTGCGGACTCTGTTGTCATATAACATATGTACACATAGATATATTCGATGTTATATTTTGCTGCTGCTCTTATTTTGTTGTGATATTATACGGTGTGGTTTCGTAGTATGTTGCAGGGCATGATGTCATCTCATACTAAATCACACTAAATCACATTCTATAATGCGTTAGCAAGCCACATTATACACAATTTCGTTGTATTCGATGAGTTCACTATAGCGTGTTATCTTAGGTTTATGTGATAGTAACATTAAAGTATGTTCTAGGTTCATTGAGATTGTATTCTGTTATTTCTTGTGCATATTTGCAAGGCCATCGATTTGCTATGAGATGATTCGAGCTGATAGTATAGTCTTACACTATAGTTTGACTTACACATGTTACATGTTGCTATAATACAACTGTATATATGGCACCATATGCTTGCATGATGTTTGAACTTGTAGTTTGTGTGTGATATCATATCGTACCGTATTATGTGATACTCTACTTGTCCGTTCTATATTGCGTTATATTATGCTCTATTGTATCTTCGCACACATGTACCGATGTACATTGTACGTGCATACATACATACATACATACATACATACATACATACATACCCACGTTTGGATACATGTATATCTATATATATATATATAACATGCACTCACATTGTATTGTGCAGGCTGAAGGCTTCCGGGATGGAGATGTTTGGGGCTTTGGCTTTAGGCAGCCTATTTTCGCAGGGACTTACCATGAAGACCCATCGTTTGCAAGTCCGCGTGGGACGTGCCATGGAAAAAGATCAAAGTGGGGAGTTCCCGGTCAGGGTTTGAGATGCAGTAAGGAAGGAGAAAGAAGATCAACAAGCTCTTGGGCGCGAGAATGGGGCTAAATTACTCCTTTGCCACGATTTCGGTCAAAGATCAGCTGGTGAAACCTTTGTGGTATCGTGCAGCATCGGCCATGGCATCTACGCAGCTTAACCGATGTTTTCCAATTTGGGTTGAGTTGCATGAAGCAGAGGCATGGACAGCTAATTCTCTGTCAGCAGAAGCCAGTGGCATGGACAGATGTTCTCCGTCGTTAAATCTGACCTCTTTGCTATGAAGCGTTGTAAACTGACTCCGGGAAATCCAACACATAGTGAACCTAAAAAATCAGAAATTCGGCACTGCTGATCCCTTTAGGACTCTTGGCTGCAGAATGCCAGGCTGCAGGCACTTTGAGCTGAACTGAGCTGGTGATGTTTCGCTTCCCGTGCTCCAGTAAGAACAGGCAGCAAGCTTGATGCAGACACGCGGAGACTCCGTAAATCCTGTTGAGCGCGAACTGATAGAGTCTTCCTTGTCCCCATCCTTTTTAAAGAGGCAACTTCTGAACGTTGGAGTCCCGAATGTACCTGCAGGACCTACAGCCAGCAGTCCAAGCGTTCTACTTCCTACCCTCCTCCCTTGGCTTAAACCCTAAACTCAACAAGCATCAACTGTTTTTTCGCATATATATGTGCCTGTATGTATACACTCTCAGCTGCAAAGAGGGTTCCGCACCAGAGCTGCCGCGATGCGGCGCTGCACGGCCTCAGCATGTGCGCTGGCGCCTGCAGTGCCCCGTATCCCTCACGAGAGTCGGATTCAGGATCACCATTCCCTTGTGGGTGTGTGCGGCTTCGGACTGATTTGCTGGCATCAAGGCGTTTCGGACTACATATGGTAGAAAGTTACTACTGGTAGCTATATACATATATATATATACACATACACGCACATGTAGATAGAGAGTTCGATAGATAGATGGATAGATGGTTACATAGATAGATAGGTAGGTAGACAGATAGATAAGTCGATCTGTAGATAGAGAGAGAGATGCAGAAAGAGATAGATATAGAAACACAGATATGCAGATAGGTATAGCTATAAGTTTAGATAATTTTGGTACAGACGTGTATGTATATATATATATATGTGTGTACATGCACACGTACATGTATCTGCCTACATGCATGAATGCATGTATGCATGTATGCATGTATGCATGCATGTATGTATGTATGTATGTATGTATGTATGTATGTGTGTATGTTTACGCATATGCCTGTATGCATTATATTATGTATACATGCATATACGGTTTATATA